AAATAAATTCAATTCAATTCAACAAGAAGTCTCACGCAGACATACTACATTAGCAGGCTGCAGGAAATTCAATGTTTTGCTATTTCTAACATAATTTCTTGTGCAATCTCTCTTTTGACATATTGAAAAGGTGTCTGATACTTGTCAAAAATGGCATTCTCTTGCTTTTAAAACTGTAAGCTATGTGACGTTAGGTAATTATATTGAAATTATTCCTAAATAATAAAGAGAATTAAATTTCCTTGTATCAAAATCTAATGTATATTTCTATTTTGAAGTGCGGCCCTGGACAATTATTTATAGGGCTGAGGTGCCCCTCTGCACAAGTTGAGTTTGACATGCCTGTTCTACAGTGTTATAAGCGGAAAGTTAGAAGGATGGCAGAGTGGGGGAACAGACCATACCCCTACTGTCCATAAGGATTCTTTGACCAGTATTGGATGATTGAACGCTGTATAGTCTAGCTACTGACAGCGTCGTAAAAAGACAACCCCCTCCCCTAAATTCATATCCTTGATAAAAATGTATTACTTTCTTCAATAGTTACTGTTGTTTAATAATGTCTGCCCACCTACGTCTTGGTCTTCCCAGTGGTCTCTTTCCTTCTAGCTTTCCCACCAATATCCTATATGCAGTCCTTTTCACCCCTTCGTGCTATACGCCCTGTACACCTCATCCTCCTTGACTTGATCATTTTAAATATACCTGGAGAAGAATACAAGTTACGAAGCTCCTCATTATGCAGTTTTCAACAACCTCCTGTCACTTCATCTCTCTTCGGTCCAAATATTCTCCTCAACAACCTGTTCTCAAACACCTTCAGTCTATTTTCCTTAATGTCAGAGACCAAGTTTCACACCCATACAAAACCACGGGCAAAATTATGGTTTTCTATATTATAATTTTTGCTTCTGCACAGCAGAGGAGAAAACAAAAGTTTCTGGAGTGAATGGTAGGAAGCATTACCCGAGTTCAGTATCCTCTTAACTTCCTCCTAAATCAGGTTTTGATTTGTTATCGTTGTTCCCAAATATCTGAACTGCACTACATTTTCAAAACATCTGTTTCCTATACTTATAGCATGATTTTGCCCCCCATTTTGGTGATGAGACAGAAACATATACTTAGTTTTCACTGTGTTTACTTCTAGACCAACCTCCTTACTTGCGTCAGTTAAAGTTTATTTGTTTTTCTTTATCGTATCTATATTATCAGCCTGCAGTTTCACATCATTGGCCAGACCAACAGCTGAAGTGACCAGTTTAATTTCAGTCCCGCTTGGTTTCTTTGGGCATTCCTAATAGCATATTCTAAAGCAAAGTTGAAAAGGAGTAGCAATAAAGCATCTCCTTGTTTTAGACCATTCTGGATAGGAAATTTATCAGACAAATGTTTACTTATACAGATTTTACTATACATTTCATTTAAACACATTTTAATCAGCCTAACTAGTTTCATATGTTGTTTGCTCACTGCCAGTCTTTCACTAACCTTTGCCACAACCAGGTAGTGGTCAGTATCACAATCTGCTTCCTTGAATGATGGGACATCAAGTATACTTGAGTGCCGTCTCCTGTCTATCAAAATATGCTAGATTTGATTGTGTATCTTCCCATCAGGAGATGTCCAAGTAAATTTATGGATGTTACAATGTGGGAACATTGTACTTTTGACAGTAAGATTTTTTGATGTGGCATAGTTTACTATCCTAACTCCATTTTTTTTTCCTTGGCACTACAGCCCCAGTGGGCCTCCATGAACTTCTCCGTTCACTTCGGTTTTTCTAGATCTTACACATTCAGTAGGACTCTTTGGGCGGGTGATCAGATCGTCACAAGGCCTCTACCTGTATACAAACACAGAAAAACGCACACACACAAACTAAACATCCATGCCCTGAGTGGGATTCGAACCCACCCCGGTTTCCAAGTGATGGAAGACAGTACATGCCTTAGACTGCTTGTCTACCGTGACCTGCACCCTAACTCCATTACCGATACTAATTTCATGCAAACTCTCATTCCCAATCGTTGGTTTGAAAATGTCTCTCTCCCTCCTTTGGCATTGAAATCTCCTAACAAAATTTTCATATTGTACTTCAGGAATTTATCAAATATATGATTTAGTTCTTCATAGAACCTGTCCTTTATGTTATCAATTTTATCTTCTGTTGGGGCGTGAACATTTATGATGATGATATCACACCAGCGATCTTTTAGTATTATATATTGTGACGTGTTGATATCCTATTACTAATGAACTCTTAACTGCTGTTACAATTCTCTTATGTACGAAAAAACCTGTACCTAATTCATGATCAGCCTCTAACAGAAATGAGTATCAAGAATGTTCCTGGAGGTAAAGGGCAACCAGCCTGGGTGTATGACTGACAACCTCACTGCCATTTCTAGAAAATGTGGGAGCCTCGACATCTCACAACTCTATGAGCACTCATTGACATGTTAGGTAGCTGTATGTTTCTTTCTAGTAATACTAAACTCTTGTTTAAGGAGTTAGAAGAGATTTCCACTAAATTTGAGGTTATGACTGGTGAAACACTGAATGAGAAATCGGACATATCACAAAATGGAGTAATGGTGAATTTAAAACATACAGAAATACTAGAAGGAACAGTGAACTAAAAGTATCAGATACATCATACCTTCCTCTCGCTACAAATAACAAATACGATATTCTATCAAATTTGATAGACCATACAACAAGCGAAGAAGATGCCTCATCCAGCCTCAAGGAAACCTACTCTGAACCAAAGTTGGAAGTAACAAATCTTGTTATGTGTGATAAAGAACCAATCCTAATTTCTGGTAACAATACAAAAGAGAAACAAATACCTGTAATAGTAAATGGTGGAACAGTAACTAACAAATATGACAATTTAATACCAGTTCCAAGTTTCATTCATAATAGCTTAAACAAAATAAATAACCTCAATTATAAGGAACTGAAGAATGAAGGGAAAGAAAATAATAATCATAATATAATAATACTAGGTGATAGTCACTCAAAGGGAACTGCAACTAAGATTGATGATTACCTAGGAAATAAATTTCAGGTTCATGGTATAGTGAAGCCAGGTGCAGGTATAGCTGACATAATAAGCCAATCTAGTAGAAAGTATAAGAACCTAACAAAAAAGGACGTAATTGTGATACAGGGTGGATCAAATGATATATATAGGAATAATGCAGAGGCTGCATTAATGTAGATCATGAAGTTCTGTAAGAATTTAAATAATACTAACATATTAGTGACAGACATTCCATCCAGATATGACCTAGTAAAGAATTCCACTGTGAACAAGGGAATTGAGGTCTTTAATCGAAAACTGAGGAAGGTACCAAACAACTTAAACATGTAACAATATTAGAGCCTAGATTAAACAGAGAAATGTTCACACAACATGGGCTACATCTAAATAGATCAGGAAAGTATTTAATAGCCAAACAAATAGCAAGGGAAATCTACAGACTAACAGAGGAAAAAATTATCAATGTAATTAGCCTGAAATGGAAACTAGAGACAAGGGTGAACTTAGCAACAATAAATACTTCATACACAGGTTATGACAATATCAAAGAACAACAAAATCATCCTACTAGTAGTAATAAAACATATAATGAGCATAAGGTTATACTAACACAAAGATACCCTACTAGATCTAGAAAGCTGCCTACACCAGAGAGGGGCGGTTTTTTGTGAGAGACCTACACCTAAACTTAATTAATAATGATGGTAATAATAACGCTACTAATCTGTTAAATAATAGTAATGCTAGTCTAAGAGAAGTTCAGTATACAAATAAATTATACTCTACAAATAATAAATGTAACAGTAAAAAGAATGAAGACATTAAGGACTTATTTATGATTTTTCACCAAAAAACTAGGGGTCTAAAAGGTAAAACTGAAGAACTTATGATTTCCTTACATAATCAACTACCAAATGTAATCTGTTTATCGGAGCATCATATGACTGACCATGAAATTGATGCTGTGCATATTCCAATGTACAAACTAGGTGCTAAATTTTGTAGGAAAAAACTAAAAAATGGCGCTGTATGTATATATATCCAACAAGATCTAAAATTTATGAATATAAATTTACAAAAATATTGTAAGGAACAAGATTTGGAAATTGCAGCCATTCAAACAAGAATAAACAAACATAAGATAATGATCTGTAGTATTTATAGAGCCCCATCTGGTAATTTTGATATATTTCTTAATAAACTTGATTCTATATTGAACTCTTTTTTCAGTCATAATCTAGAATTCATAATATGTGGTGATAAAAACATAAACTACATGAAAACTAGCAATCAACGAACCAATTAGAGGACATGTTAAATACTTATAATCTCAGGGATACAGTAAATTTTCCTACAAGAATCACTAATAACTCAGCTACCTTGATTGACATTTTCATTGTCAATAGAAGGAGTTATGACATAAAACCATGCATAAATGGACTATCAGATCATGATGCCCAACTCATCATACTTAATAACATCTCGGTATCTAATAAGACTTCTAAGATTAACTATACTAGAAACATTAATAACATCACTATAATGGATTTTCAATATTTACTAAGTCTCGATTCTTGGGAAAACATTTTTAGTAATAATAATGTTAACATCATGTTTAATAACTACAATAATGCCAACAAGCTGGAACGCATCAAGCAGAGGTTTGCGGCCCTTTGTTTTAAACATTTCTTTCCTCAAGTTCATTACAATTATTCTCTTGCTCTTGAGCAGTTAAAATTGCATACTTTACGTACTAGGAGACATTGCCTTGGTGCTCTCTTTCTTATTCAAGTTCATTTTGGCTCTACATTCTGCCCTTCTGTCCTGGAAATTGTTGGTCTCCAAGTTCCTGCTCGGTATATCAGAGATTTTGCATTGTTCAATGTTTGCTCCTTATTTAAAAATGGTCCTTCTGCTAGATGCGCAGCAGCTGCTAATGTTGTCTGCAGAGATGCTGACGTATTCGGAGCCAGGAATGTTCTACCCAAACAAATTTTAAATATAGTATAACTGTTAGTATTTTTATTATTTGCATGTCCAGTAAAACAAAATGAATTACGTATTATTATTATTATCCTCTGAAAATTTATACTATTCATTTCTTAATTAATTATTTATGTTTCATTCCTCAATTCTTAATAACACTTAGTTTAATGATAATGAAATTATTATTACTGTTATAATTATCAGTTATTTGTTTGTTTGTTTGTTTGTTTGTTTGTTTACTTTTATTCATTATTATTTCTTCCAAGTACTTACCTGTAATTTGTATTTGACTTTTAATAAGTTTGTCTATAATATAATTACATTCATCTGCACTGTGCTGTGTCTGTAATTGGCCCTGTGGCTGTTGACTCGGCACATTAATAATAAAGAATTGAATTGAACTGAATAACTTTCACAATACCTATCCAAGATGCTTCCATGCTTGCTTCTCAAAAAAACGAACTAGACACAAAATTAACCATAATAAATGGATCACTACAGGTATAAGAAAATCATGTAACAGCTTATTAAGTAGAGACAGTAATGATATTAATCTCAAAATTTATTTTAAACAATATTGTAAAATATTAGCCAATGTTATTTTAGCTGCCAAAAAATTACACTATTGCAAAATTATTGCTAATTCTAACAATAAAATAAGAAGGACATGGAAAATAATAAATGAAGAAAATGGAAAAATAAAACAAGACAAAGATATTTATTCTATAATGACAGATAATAAAATAATAAAGAACCAAAACAGAATTGCTGATGTTTATAATAACTATTTCATATCTATTGCGGATTCCGCTAGATTAAATAATACTAATCCCATTAATCCAAGTATAACTAATCCCTCCACCTATTTAACAAATTTATTTAAAAGACCCTTTACCAAAATGAGCTGGCAGTATACCTCCACACACAAAATCAAGAAAATTATAAAAACGATAAAGACTAAAGATTCTTTTGGGTATGATGAGATCTCCAGTAGAATAATAAAACAAAGTGCTCCATTTATAATTTCTCCTTTGACATAATATTTGTAATGTGATCCTGCATTCTGGTGTATTTCCAGAAAGATTAAAATTTGCCATAATCAAACCTTGCTTTAAGAAAGGCAACACAAAAGAAGTTTCCAACTACAGGCCTATATCACTGTTAACTTCCTTTTCAAAAATTATAGAAAAACTTATGTATTCAAGGCTAATCACTCATATTGAAGCAAACAGTATCTTGGCCCTCGAACAATATGGATTTAGGACACATTCGTCTATGGAGAAGGCAGCATTTTCATTGATTAACAGTATCTCCACAGCTATGAATAATAAGCAAATTATGGGAGGCATTTTTTGCGACCTACAAAAGGCCTTTGATTGTGCAAACCACGGAATTCTATTGGATAAACTTGAATTTTATGGAGTACATGGTATTTTTAAAACACTAATTGAATCTTATTTGACTGACAGACAGCAAAGAGTTGCTCTGGGCCATACAACTGATAGTGATAATTCATCTAGATGGGAGAAAGTAAAATGTGGAGTACCACAGGGCTCGATTCTGGGTCCTCTGCTTTTCTTGCTATACATAAATGATCTTCCCAAAACGATAAATACAGATAATAACATAGTATTATATGCAGATGATACTAGTATCATAATAACAGAACCCAATAAATTAAGCTATAAAATAAATCTTAACCAAACTTTTAAAGATATAAACACCTGGTTTAAGGCTAATTTACTTACTCTAAATTTCAATAAAACTCAATGTATGGAGTTTAGAACCATGAAACGCTACGATACAGAGACCTACATCAGTTATGAACAGAAACGTATAACAAGTGCAACAGTAACTATGTTCCTTGGTTTAACCATTGATGATGTTTTATCTTGGCAACAGCGTATAAATCTGATGATCAGTAGACTAACTTCTACATGTTATGCGCTGCACGACATTAAATATATAGTTAACTTTCCAACACTAAGGCCAATCTACTTTGCCTGTGTTCACTCTTTCATAAGTTATGGCATAATTTTCTGGGGTAACTCCTTTCATGCCAAGAAAGTGTTTGTCTTACAAAAGAAAATCATTAGAATCATAACAAACACTAAACCTTGGGATTTTTGTAGGAATATCTTTAACCAATTGGAAATAATGACATTATATTCACTATATATATTCATTACTTCTCTTCATAATAAATAACAAACATATATTCAATTCCAATAATGAGATTCACGAATATGTAACTCGAACCCATGATGACTTACATGTTCCTGCTGTGAAAACAGCAACATTTAATAATGGAACATACATAACAGTCATCAAAGTGTACAATCACCTCCCTAAGTCAATAAAGACCTTAGCCACTAATGTTAAAAGTTTTAAATCTGCACTGAAGAGGTTCTTAAGTCAACATTCTTTTTACTCAATGAATGAATATTATCAGTATACCGAAGAGAAGGATGTATAGTCCATCTACTATTTAAATGGTTAATTTAATTTCTATCCTGTATAAGAATTATTTTTAACAACTAATACTAAATACAAGGTATTAATAATAGTATTTTACGTTTGTACCTATGGAATTTTTATTATATACTAATTTTTCAATTTTACGAATTGTATATAATAGACTGCTATCGAATTGTATATGTTATGATTTAGTTTTTACAACATGATTGTGACACTGATAACTATTTACCTGCATCAGTTATTGCAGTACATAGAGTAATCTGACATGTTCTACATCCTAGGCACATTGTGACCAGAGAGGATTCATGGAATTTTAAAATAAACGAATGAGTGAATGAATGAATGAATGAATGAACACCTCGGTAATTTTTATCCGCTTGTCTAGTTATGAACTTCCCTACTAAACATTTCAGTACCTCTGAGGTACTGATTCCAATTCACACCCTTGGGCCATAGTCACACACTGCAAGCAGAACACCTGATACAAACAAGTGAACTGCAGAAGTGCGCCACAGTCATGTTTGCCCCAATTGGATGTTGTTTCATCGATATCTCACTCCATGTCATTCAGTTCCAGATATATATCAGTGTGACAGTATCCTGCCCTGTATTTGTATTGGAAAGTCAATTGTAAGACAAGAGTAGATAAGGGTAAATATAAACAGGATACAATGCAAAACTTTTACATTTATTTGACACAGCCTGATACAGTCAGCACGTTGCAGGTGAAGCACAGTATATGCCTGCAGGACACACAGGTGGGCCAACTGTGCTGGATGTCTGCTCCCCTCATTCTGTTGGTATTGCATATTATGAGTATATGGAATTACTTTTATTATCCTCATCATAATTGTTATTTGTCAGCACTGCTGTTGCCCTCATTGCCACAGATTTCCTTACAAAGTAAACCGGATTCGACATTCCTTCCCCAGTGATTTCTTTGTTAAGCAACCATAAATATGCCCACATTTCACATGTTCACTGCTGTTTATTTGCCTGGCAACAATTTAATGCATAAAGCCATTACTGGGAGTAGCCACTTAGCTCGTCATATTACAAAACTGGTCGAAGTGAATGTACTGTTGTGACATGTCTGCTGAAAGCCAGAATTGTGAAGCCGACAGAGATAGCCGTTGTTAGCAAATGACTCTGCAAACACGTCAGTTGCCACTCAATGTCACAGCAACAGTCAGATGATTGCCACAACAGACACTCAAGCAAAAAAGAGAAGCTGTGGGAATAGGTGTTTTCTGTGCGGTCCGTGAAGAGACCATATAAGGAGGAGCGATCAACAGAGGATGTAGCATGAGGGATATGGCTATGGTCCAGTTGAAAAAAAAAACTATGGTCGCGAGTCTTGAGGTGATTGGCACCAAGATGAACTGATTGTCGGTAAACCACCAGTTGTAAATTAGCTTTGTCTTTTACTTTGAAGCGATTATGCTTTTAGCTTGAATTAAGGAGATGTTGGGTTCGAGTTCTGGCCAGTGCTTCAACTATCCTAACTGCCATTTCCATAAATTTCTTCAGTCTGTCCAGGAAATACTGTATTTATACTTTAAAATATGCCACGACCATTTCCTTCCACATCTTTCCAAATAATTGCTCACTCTCACCTAGTCATTGCTACTTATAATCTCAGATGTCGGCAGCATCACTGAACAAACGGCATGTAAATATAAATATTAAAACCTTGGTAGTTGAAAAAGCTCCCAGTTTATCATGCACGGTGTCAGATGGTCTGCCTTCATAAACAATGCCGTTGTTTGGACGCAGTAACAAACATGGACATGCCTAGTAGCCAGAACAATGAGAATAAAGGTAAAGCAGGTCATAATGCTGCCTGCATTTGTGTGCATCACATTGCCTGCTAGCAAAGACATATATCAACACAACACTGCTGCTTCCCCATGCATTCTAATTTCACGCACGACCATATGCCAAAGTTCTTGCACGTGATCTACTTACATATAATCGGGAGGCCCAAAGAAGTATAAAATATACTGCCATGTTGTTCTAAGATGTCTGAAATCATTCAGTCTTCAACTTCTAAGGTCTGGAGTGCTGATGTGATGGACAATATGGTGGTAAAATTTCAAACTTATTTGGGTCACCTGGACTCATTAACTAGAATCCAGTTTAGTCTGACATTTTCTAGCTGGGCAGGCAAGAACTCTTATTTGACATCCTGAGGTCTCAGGGACTAAACATTGTACCATATTCCTACTGCGACTTGACATGAACATGGACCAGAGTGGTTATACTGGAAACCTACCTTTAATACAACTAGGTTTCAATGGACATTCCTCCTTGTTGCACAGAACTCGTTCCATTACACAACAGTATTCCGTAGCACAGTCGAATGACGCTCAAGTTACTGACGAACAGGCAGTAACTGCAAATGATAGATAAGTTCTGATATCAGAAACTGAGGTCACACATGCTATTTGTGTTCTTTGTATTGAACTTAAATCAATGGAGCTGAGCTAAGAAACCGCTATTCACTCAGCTACTCAAGAATTTCCCCAAATTTTATAGAACCCGTAGGTTCATTATCGTGTTCAAAAGAGCCCTCCACTGGTCCCTATGAATCAAATGGATCCAGCCCATACTATCCCATCCCATTTCTATAAGATCCAATTAAACATTATCCTTCCACCTGCGCCCAGGTCTTACTAATGATGTTTTTGCTTCTTGCTTTCACACAAGATCCTGTATGTATTCCTCTTCTCTCCCATTCGTGCTACATGCCCTGCTCATCACCTCCTTCTTGACTTTAATTATATTTGAAGAAGAGTACAAATTACAACACTCCTCATTAAACAGTTTTCTCAAACCTCCTGTTACCTAACCTCTCTTCGGTCCAAATATTCTCAACACCCTCAGTCTATGTTCCTCCCTTAATGTCAGAGACCAAGTTTCAAGCCCACAGAGAAACACAGGCACAGGACTGCATTTAATAATATATTAAAAGCAATAACATTATTAAAGAACTTTGAACTCATGATCCTGAAACATACTCATGTTTCCAAATTCATTATTAAAGATAATAATGTGGACAAAATAATAAAATAACTGAAAGAATATACCCATAATAATAAAACAGATGAAAAACATACCCAGAATAATAAAACAGCTGAATAAAATATGTAAATACTATTAACTATTAACCTCCTACCTAAGAAATAGATAATAAAATTAACTGCAAAATACACAGTGAATCCTGCTATCAATTCTGCACCTCACTGTTTCATATTGAAGCAGATAAACTGAACATTTCAAGTCAAGTGTAAAGTAATGGCACTTCAATCTTACCTGCACCATGTGAGTTAGGAAACAATTTCCTATACAATTCTGAATAGAAATATAATCACTTCAAGATAAAGCACAGAATGAACTCTGACCATCGTCTGAAAGTGATGTTCTAATATACAGAGATGAAATACACATGTCTGCAAAGCAGAGAAGAGATGAAGCAAAAGTTCTGAGCTAGTTTCTTGTACAGTCTCTGACTGCAGATGATCATGATGTAATCAACACAGTACTGAGTACCTAAATAATGAGACAAAAGCAAATGAATGCATGGTAGTTTCTGTTTTTGCACTCCAGGTGCTTGTCACAAGGGTGACAACTTATGAAATATCTGACGATGCTCACATGAGCAGCTGCCACAGATATTCTTCCATTAGTTCAATAACTGCTCCACGAGTAGGTATGAGCAGGATGTTCTAAGGNTTGCTTTCCCAAACTTATGAATTATCTGATGATGCTCACATGGGCAACTGCCACAGATATTCTTCCATTAGTTCAATAACTGCTCCATGAGTAGGTATGGGCAGGACGTTCCAAGGCAAAAATGAAGAAGTGTTACTTTCCTAATGACTTACTGATATGCCACGATTTGCATCTTCCTCTCTGTGCCTGACCGTTTCACTCTTCAACCTGTTTGCTTGCTTACACCACCAAGGAATGTAAATTCTTGTGAGACCATGTGCATGGATAGGAATATGTGTTACAGGGAATAGCATCAGTGTGTTGTTTACGTGAGAAATACATCGTATTGTCTCTGTGATTTATAACTGAGGGCAAGGGATTCAATGAAGAGACAGGATGATGTGGGAATGATTGCGAAGCAGAATCGGAGTCAATGGACCGACACTCTGTTCAGGTGTAATCTTCCACGTGTAGTGAAATTACTTTCCAAGAAATGTCTGCTGCACAAATATTCTTTTGCAGCAGTCTAGCAGAATCAATGTTGCAGAATATTACAACTTTTTCCGCCCATACCACAGCCCTCTAAAAGTGTAATAAACTGTCTCAAAACCTCGAAATTATTCATCAGTAAACATTACAAACATGGTGCACGTGCTAAATTTTGAGGTTATGTTGATAAAATGAACGCACACTTTATTTCTTCCTTGGATTAAATAACACGTAATAAAGCCACTGACCCATGAATTAAAACAGACATACCGTCGTGGATCCTGCACAAGTTCTGCTCCGCATATACAGATTGTAGTTATGCATGGAAAACCTGCATTACGGCTTTATTGTGAGTTTCAAGTCTAGTACAAATAACCTAGAAAACAGTTTCATAGTTCTCATTCTGACCGTTAGATGGTAGTACACAAACTACTGCTGTGGGTGTTGGAGGAGAGAACAATTTATTAAATAATCACGATATGTTTTTATTTTTATTCCGAGATATTGCTTATAGTGATTTTTGCGAGCATCAGGATAATATTCTTTTTCGAGTGTCACATATCTAAATTCACAAGTTTCCTAAGAAAATTTTTATTCGGCCTTATGTAAACAGATTTCGTTTCTATGGCTACGTTTATATTATCATTGCCATCTTGTGTCCCTCAAAGAAAAATAGTTTATATGTGAACTCATCAATTGCTGCCCGTAAAAAGAAGCGAGGGGAAAAGTAAAAAAAATAAGTTCTGGGAAAAACTAACGGCATTATTTCCTTTGATACGACATGGACCGCATAGAAAATGAGGCGTGCAAAAATCCTTCTACTGTTGCATGTGTATTCGTTGTCGTGGGAACCTATTTACTAACCCGAAGCCTAGCAACAAGGAGATATGCAGACAACAAAATGATCTCACAAGCCTACTTGTACTTCTGTACTTTCCTAACTACGTATGCTAAGTTCCAGCTTGTATTACTGCGTGTAACACTGTTGCTATAGGTACGGGCTGCTTGGTAAACGATATCTGGCCTGAAGAAAGCAGTCTTCTGGGATTTGGCACCGTGTATATGTGGCCTATTGCGTAACCGCCCGCAACAACAGTAGAACAACGTCGTTCCACCCCTCCACCCGCAGTGACGTGGAAGGTGAGTCATCGCACCGCCCCTCACCCCCAACGCGGTTACGTGGACCGCTACCTACCGTGACGTGGCCGGTCACAGCGAAAGATATAAAAAAGCAGGCTGAGCAGTAGGAGGTCATTAGGTCATTAGTTTGTGATCAGGAGTGACACAGGTACAACGTAGCCGCCGCCGACGTTATTGTAAGTGTATAATACAGTGACACTTATATAGCTCCCGTACTTTGAATACGTGTAGACTACTGAGGACTGTGTGAAGAGATTTGTGCATAGGGTTTGTAAATTGTGTAAACCGGTAACAGTGTGATAATTAATTGTAGCCAAGACTTGTAGGTTGTTAACTAAACCAATTAACAACCCGAACGGCGTCTTCAGTGGCAAAACACGTTACACTGGTGTCAATACTTTCATATTCATCAGACTTCAACTAATTAATTTCCTGATTTCAGATAGCTTAATCGTGATGTATTTCCTTTGTTACAGCATTCAACTGGCATTTCAACCTATCGCAAGCGAAGATTGTGTACGTAATAACGTGAAAGAACCACGGAAATGTCTGTTAACATAGGTCTTTCTGGTTTGGAAATGGAACGTGGTACGGAAAGCATTCATGCGTGTTTTCCGGCCGAAATGGAAGGTGACAACTGCTCTCCTCGTGACGAAGTCCGAGAGAGCAGAAAACAGGCCCGAGACTCGTCCATCAGCGGCTGCTTCGGGTGGGTCCGAAAGTGGATATGCATTAAAGTAAGCAGATTTCAGACATGTTCATACTGAAACTAAAAAGACAGATTATCATGTTGACTGAAACATGCCTGTCTGACAAATTTTGGAAGTAAGAATTTTATAGAACTCATAAGCGGTCTTGCCAATTAAAATATGAACTGAAGCCTTGATAAAATTCGTTGCCTCTTTCAGAATGACTTGGATAGTGATGAAGATTTTTATGAGAGGAAATGCCCAGACAACACGGGAGAGTGCACAGAAGACTCCCGAGACTCGTCCACCGGCGGGTGCTTCGAGTGCATCCGAAAATGGGTATGTGAGAAGGTAAGCAGACTTCAGACTTGTTCATACTGAAATTAAAAAAAGATTATCATGCTGATTGAAAAATGTGTTTCTAGCAAATTGTCAAATTAGATATGTTGTAGATATTTTTACGTATATGAGTAGTCACATGGAAACCGGTTTTGGTGACTCGTTTATTGACCACTTTAACACATGTTTCGTGACTAAACTTAATAATAGCGCCATCGCTGATCTCCACACTTTACACATCACTAGAATCCGCGCTAAATGTATTCCACACCGCAGTGTCTACACTAGCCGTTTTCGGATAATGGCTTCTAACAGTGGAGATTCTTCAGCTTCCACGTTAAGGTCATTCCCGGATGGCCACTGTCTCACAACTGAACTTAGCTACATGTTAAACTTCTGCTGGCCCTCAATAGCACAGTGATCCTTGGTTTAGAGTCCCACAGTACTCTTTTCCATATTTTATGTCAAAGTCAAAGTGAATTTAACACTGGCGGTCCTCCTTTCAGAGTCCTTAAGTAACGTCCCGCTTCTAACCACTAAGAAATCGCAGTTTTTCTCTTGTTGCGTGCGTGTACGAGTATAATGAGGCCGTTACCAAGCAACGGCCGCTGTTTACAGAGTCGTCGTTTGTGACCAGACCATAGGCCACAACATTATATGAAATTTATAAAATAATTAGAAACAAAATAAAAATAAATTATTTACATCTAATACGAATTTGATAAGATAACAGACTTGCAGCACACCTTGAAGACATCGTATTAGTGCAAGGCTTGAATGCGAGAGACCTACCTGATATACTGCATACCGCATTGTAATATTAGCATTCATAATTAGTGTGTGAGGTTGTGGGTGTTATTTATCTGAGGATAATGGATAATGGCATATTCTTATGTACTCGTGAATGGAACACCGTTGCATCTTGGCACGGGTACACGCAACAAAGAAATAAGTACTGTCACATATTCCTGATTGGTGTGAATAATTATAATGGGTTCTGGATTAGATGAATAGAATTATTAGACACTCACGAGGGGGTACGCGGTAGCGTAGTTGGTTGAGGCAGTATGCTACGAGCAGGGAGGTCGCGGGTTCAAGTCCCGATGAGTTCATTGGATTTTTTCAATTGACCTAATCATTCCAGCCGCACTGTGGCCCTGGGGTCGACTCATCCTCTAACAGAAATGAGTACTAGGAATATTCTTGGGGGTAAAGGGCCGCCGGCACGTAAGGCTGACAATCTTTCCGCCATCTATGAGCCGATTGTCTAGAAAATGTGGGAACCTCAACATCTCACAACCCTATGGGCCTCCACGGCCTGTTACAGGGATACCTTTACTTTTTTTTTTTTTTTTGCTTTTTTTGCTAGACACTCACGCGTCGTAACTACAAATAATTATAACACTCTAAATATTACTGTCACTATAACACACAAAAGGAAGTCTTCAACATCTCCTTGCTAGTCGTTGCTTGGTAATGAATCTTATCTGCTTAAACTTTCAACTATTGAACTGCCTTCTGAATTTCCTTATGAATGACTTTCTGAATGCCTTGAACGACGTCTGTCTAACAAAATCACGAATCCACTGACTTTTGTAACTACCACGCGGTCACCAGAAGTCACCACGTTCAAGGGTTCCATTACTGTTTTCGAGGAATCGGTTGTCTCAGAATCTTGTGTTAATTTGGGAAACGATTTCATCTCCCCAAGCGTGTTCGTTGTCACGAAACTTTTTGCAACCATTACTTGTCTAGCAATGGATAATATTCATTTCTGCAATCATTCCGGTTTTTAGGAAGTGTTCAACAAGCCATGGCCTAGCATATGATCATATTCGTCACAATACAATGCATGTGTGTAGGTGTGTGAAGCATTTAGCCGTGGTGTAATTGTTCAAATCGAAGAAAATTCACTATGAATATTAATTCTGTGATGCCGCAAACTATTCTTGAATCACGCAATATCGACGGTGATTAAGCCACTTAGCTACACGTTCCTGAAACCACTATGATATGTTCAGTTTCCCAGGAGCCTCGTAAAAGAACAAGAGACCCTGACAGCACAGCGCCCTGTGACGCCTGTGGCGGTGACAGCAGAGCGACCTGTGACGGCAACAGAACAGCGCCCTGAGACGCCTGTAACGGCGACAGAACAGCTACCTGTGACGGTGACAGCCCAGCGCCCTGTGACAGCAACAGAACAGGGCCCTGTGACGCCTGTGGCGGTGACAGCACAGCGCCCTGTGACGCCTGTGGCGGTGACAGC